TACATAATCATATTTTAGCTGCTAATCGAGCTGGTTTAGTTACTGTATGGAATGCATCAAATTGGGAATATATCAATGATTTTAATATATATGAAATATACAAAGCAACTCAGAATATTCAACAACGACCATTTAAAAGTGAAGCAGTAATTACATTTCGAAATCCATCAAAATTATCAAAAACTGTACAAAATCGAATACAACAACTTAATGCTGATTCAAAAGAATCTACAAAACAAATTGATATTCCAAGTAAGAATATATGAGCAATTTCATTCGTCAGTAACGCGATTTTACAAAATAAAAATGCCTATACCTCTAGACTCGAGTATTTCTTTTAAATAATTTTTTATGTAACAGATGTATGCTAAATTGCTCTAGATGCTCTGAATAACTCAGCCCTATAGACTTTGGTTCTACTGAGCTATTATTGAAAAATTAGCGTTAGCGACATGATACAAAAAACAGCAACAGTTTTCACTACGTATGTTTTCTGCAAGTTCAAGCGGTACTTTTGAAAACTAAATAGTGTGTTTTCTAGAGAAGTCTTCAAACTACAATTTTTTCTAAGTCTGATCTTACTGAAAATTTCCCCATAGATATAGTCTATTGCAGGATTTTCAATTAGGGAGAAACTTCCCCCCTCTCCCTCAAAATATCCGACTTTCTATCAACTTTTTACAGCTTCGTGATAGCTTTGTATCGGAACCGGATTTTGAAACATAATTTTCCTTTCCCTAGCAGAAAATGAAATAAAAATAAGTGGACAGTTTTGTTGCGAGATGTATAGGATTGGCGGAGGGATGGGTTAGTGGCAAGTAGAGCCCGTCGGGTCCAGGTCCAAAAATTCTTGAACCCGATGGTCTGTAGTGGCAGCTTATTTGTTGTTAACTTATTAAGTTTAATTAATTGTGAGTTGACAAAGTCAATAATTTTATATGTATTCATAGGAAAAGAACTTGTTCAAAATAAATACAAAAAATAATTCCTATAAAGAATCAAATTTAAGTTGAAGATGATTATGTTATGTTTTCACTGATTTTTGTTCATATATTAAAATAGAATTTATTATTTAAAATTTTTTAAATATTTGTAGATGCACCATCACCTAGTGGACCAGCTTCGATTATTCCATTATCAACAGATAAACTCGAACGTATACAAATTTATGGTGATCTTTTATTTGCTTGTTATCGTTATGATTATATACTTATATTATGTATATCTGATTCAAATACATATACATTTGAACATTTAATATCAGTTAAATATAAAACAGGTGATTCAACACCAATTGATTCATTTATTGTTTATAATAAACAACTATGGGTATCATCCGGTTGTATTATTTATATATTTAATGTTAATAATACTAATGATGAAAATTCATATAATTTATTAATGAAAAAACCTGTTGATGATGATCGTCTTATAACAATGTTAGGTTTTTCAGGTCATATATGGGCTGGATCATTGCATGGAAATGTTTATATATATCGTATGGATAATTATGAATTACATAAAACTTTTGCTGGACATAGTGATGGTGTTTGTAGTTTATGTTCAATGTTAGATATGTATGTTATTAGTGGTTCATTACAAAATGATACATCAATTGCTATTTGGGAAAATATACAACCATCAAATAATGAAACAAATGCATTAATATCATCATTAAGAACAAAAGAAGTTATGAAACCTATTGATATTTTATAATAAATTTTTTGTTTACCTGTTAAAAATGAATAAAAAATAGAAGCACGTTTGATTTTATGATCGATCATATAATTATAAAGTAAACGAGCAAAAATCTAAAATGATTAGAAATCAATTAAAATTTCTGTTCTTTTTTCTATAAATAAAGACATAGAACTGACGAATCGTTTATTGAATTGAGGTTGATATTGATTTATTGCATAAAGTAAATGATAGAGATAGAAAGGAATATTTGCAATATATTGTTGAAGTGATTTTAAATAATTTAATTTTTCATCATATTGTTCTTGAACAAAAATTAAAACTAATTACAAATATATGTATTTTTTTATTTGATTTCTTACGTTCAAAACCAATTTTTTGTTGAATTTTCAATCGCCATTCAATTTCTTTTTCATTCGCACATATAGAACAACATCTATGCAAAATAAATTCTTTATTTTTCTTTTGTTTATGAATAAATATTTTCATATACTTAGCAAAAAATTCTTTCGAATATTCCATCATTGTACATAACCATTCGGGTAACTATGTGCAAATATATAAATCAAAATAAATATTTTGTTGAGGAAAAGTTTATATGCCTTTACCTGGGTCGATTGATTATGTAAAAATGACCAATCATGTTCATATTTAACAAATAGATAAATCAATTCCCATTGTTCATATTGCATAATTAAATGGACCATTGCTGGTCGGTATGAATCTAATTCAGAATTTTCAATAACGATTGTTACTAGCTTGTCAATAGGAAAATTATTTTGTTGTGTTGCAATGATATTTTCTGTAGTTAAATATGTTTGAACTTGTGATCGCATTTCATAATTTATATCAAACCAATCCGGTCGAATAATAGCTAACCAATTGAGCTTTGGTAATACTTTTGTCGATCGATGAACAATATTTTGTAATTGTTCATACAAAAGATCACATGGACAAGTAACAAGTACAATAGCTGCTAAAATTCTATTACCATAGTCGAAAAATTTTGACCTAAAAAAAAATAATCGAAATCTTTAATAAAATAAATTCAATAACAAAATTTCAACAATAATATACTCAATATTATCATTATTAAATAATAAATATTGTTTTATTGAATTTTTTTTATTAATAAAATAATGAGTAAATTGACTTGAATGTACAAGGAAAGCAAGAAGATCGGTTTTATATTGATTTTGTCTAGCATATGATATTTTAATTGATACATAACGATGATAAATAAAATTCATTAATTCAAGTAACATATATGGAATAATAAATGAAAGTAAACTTGGACAACATCGTTTTATATATAAATGAAAATGATTAAAATGATAAAATAATGTATCAATATAAACTGAATAACGTGTATTTTCAAAATAAGATTTTGTATTTAACCAATCATTAGCATCACAATCATGTAATAAATTTATTTGCCAATAAGTTAAAATAAATTGACAAAAATTATATAGAAAATATTGAAATTGATCATAATAAAATAATATTTCAATACTTGATAAACATGATATTAAACAAATACAATGTTCAAGAGATATTGATGAAGGATAATTATGAAAAATCTAAATCATAAAATTTTGTTCAAAAGAAAATATATAATTAACTAGAAATTATTTACATTAGAAGCTTTTTCAAGTAATTGTTCAAGTTTCTCATTACATTTTGTTATTAAATTAGACGAATGTTTAGATATTCTTGCATCATCAAAAAATATAAGTAGTTTTCTTATTTCCTAAAGAAAAAAAATACTTTAGTAATATTCTCTAAATATTTAAGATGAACTTACGGGATAAACAAAAAACATAGTATTTCTTCTTAAACATTTATATTCTTCTAATTTATCGAATGAATCAAATTGATCAAAAATTTTTTTATTTATTATCAAATCTATAAATTTAAATTTAAAATTTATTCATCAAATATTCAATAAATTCTACCAATTCGTTGATGAAGAACAGCAAGAACAATATTCGAAAAATATTCATTAATTATCATACAATCCTAATTAATAATAAAATGCAGGGTTTTTTTTGTTGTTTTTATCTTAACGAAAAATGATCTCCTACTTTTTTCTCATCAATTTTGTTTAATTGTTCACAAACTTTACTTAACGATTTAATAAGATAATTTAATGATGAATATTGATGTTGTTGTTTATCGAATTTATTTTTTAAATATTCATTTAATTCATCAATTAATGGTTCAAATAGATGAAGAACAATTGAATTCCATATATTAATTGTATTTTTTATTAAATTTTCATTGCTATAATATAATTTTAAGGATCGTTCTAATAAACATCCTAATAAATAAATTTTTTCTCCATTACCACCCCATTTTTGTTTTTGAGTATCTTTACGAAATTGATTAATAGATAATTCAACAATTAATTGTCGAATTGTATTGAATGATAAAATTAATTCGGATGTTGGTATAAATTGTTTAAGAAGTTCAAAAAGTAATGGAATAGATGATGGTAATGATGAAGAAAAACGTTTAAGAAGATCTAATTGATATTGAATAAAATCATTAGAATATTCGTGTTGATTGATTAGATGAAGAAATGTTTGAAGAATAATTAAACATTCTGATGGATTAGATTCTTGAAATGGACGCTAAAAAATAACAAAAAGAAAACAAAAACCTTGTTTCTTTTAAA